AGAAATATACCTATATAACCTTTCCATACATGAAATAATGCCACCATAGAAGTAACCAATGAAATCAAGTTATTGGTTAGATGATTATGAAATATAAATATATATGTACATATATACTATAAATTCTTTTGTAATTAGACATTTTCATATGAATAATGTAAAATAATGCTTTAGATAAGTCTTATCTTAATCATTAGATTTTTCTAATTGTAGGGAAAATTCAGTAAATTTTAGTGACTCCCACTATTATACATGATCAAACTATGAGAATGTGTTTTTCAAATTATATCCAAGGGAGATAGCTCAGTGAAATAAGTGCTTGCCTGGCAAGTGCAATGTCCTGAGTTAGATCCTCGTACCATCAAAAAATTAGAAAAAAAAAGTTTAGAAATGCATGAAAATAAAAGAAAATTATTTGTAAGAATTGTTAATTTCATTGTAAATGTGCTATTTAAAATAAAACAGCGAGTATAAATGTGTTTTTCTGTGTGCATAAAAATGAAGAATAGAAAAAATAATTTTTTGTTTGTTTTTTTACTTCTTATTTTTTGTTTTTATTCATATTATTGAGAAACAAATAGCAATGAAACAGTTTCAAAACCAATTAATAGGACTGTTTTAATAATTAATACATTGCATATTGTTTTCTTCATAGTGGCTATTCATAGTACAAGATTCAGACATGGTATCCTGCCTTAAAAATATGGAAAGCTCCAGGAATTTGCATATCATCCTTCTGTAGGGACCATGCTAATCTTCTCTGTATCATTCCAAGTTTAGTATATTTACTGCCGCAATGAGCACAGAAAAATAAATTTAAATAATTCACAGCCAAATATAACCAACAGCAATGTTTTAATACAGCATTTTCATAGAAACTCACATAATATAACCATTATAAGGGCTGGCCAAATAGCTCAGTGGATTACAGTGCCTGCAAGCAGGCACAGCAGTTGGGAGCTCGATTCCTGGCCCTGTCATGCCGGCTCTCCTGGTGAGAGGGTGAGACTGGGCGTGGTGGTGCGTGCCTGTAATCCAAACTCTTGGGAGGTTGTAAACAGACAAATCACTACTAGTCTGACCTAGTAGTGAGACTCTGAACACTCTGTAGGCCCTTCCTTAAAATGCAAAAAAAAAAAAAAAAGAAAAATTTATATATCGTTTGCCCTAATTTAATTTTCTATATTATACCCGAGTAAATTTATAAGATGAGAATGAATTCATAAGGTTATCAATTAACAATCAACACGAACAGGAATATACTATTACTTTCTAGTTTTCATTTTGGTATAATGTAGGACAATACCTTTCACTAATTTTTATTAGCACTACATTTATTAAACATTAAATTTTTCTCCAAAACCCAGGCCTTATGCACAGTTTTATAAAACTTTTCTTCTCTAGCAAATCTAACATCAAATGGAAGCATAACTATTTCCTTGGAATCTGGGGAAGCTCAAAAGAAATCTTTATTTTCTTGAATCTTCCATTTCACTTTAAAAATGCACATGAATTTTTCACTGTATTATAAAATTTTTGTGCACCTGTAAACTGTGATGAGTTTCTTCCTCCAATTTTGGAGTGTAAAAGTTATTTTTCAGGTCACTGCAACATTCTGATGATTAGCTTTTGTATAATATATAGTAGAATAATTTTGAGAAGCACAATGCCAGAGGGTTTTAAGAATTAAAGTTGAGATTGAAAAGATAGAAAACCTAATTTTGTTTTAGATGTACTGAAATAACTTTATCTTGGGTTTAACTTGAAATCTGAGAAGCTTGAAGAAACTGTTCTCTAACACTACCAAGGCTAAAAACTTAATGTGAGGTAATTTAATCACTTTTTGCCATTTTTAATGTGTCCTAACATATTTGTTGCTATGCTTAGTTAAATATGAAAAACTGTAATTTGAATTTAGTACCTACTTCTGTTTTGAATTCAAGAAATTTTATTACTTCTAATATATAAACTCAAACACTGGAGAACACAAGGGCCTTCCTCAAAAAACTGACACCTAGTAACGATTTTTTTTTTCACTTCACTTTTTCTTTACTTTTCTTCATTCGGCTGAACTCAGATATACTGTCTGAATGACCTAGACATACAAAAATCCCCACACTTTTTCGCTGGTTTTTAAAATGAAATCTTCATTTATAAAACTGAAACACTAAAGCATTAAAATACAGAAAGCTCATTTAACTCACTTCACAAGAGCATTAACAGATAACGTATCTCTTTCGTAACTATTTTAAGGCAAATGGTGTCAACATTAATACCAAGTGTAAACAGACAGAGGGATACGAACGATAAGAACTCAGAACTTACCTAGACAAGGTTGTAATGGCAACTAACAAGCTATTGAAGACACGGAGTCCCAAACACGGCTAACCATGTGTCACGGCAGGGCCTAGGAAGGCTGCTGCACCTCACAACACAGCAATGTGAACAGGTGGGGTGCTGGGAGGGCCTGCGGATGTGTTAACTGTGATGTGTCAAACGCAATCATCTAGTGGGCGAGAGGAAGTACAGAAGGTGGAGGCTGCAGCTCGCGCGTGGCTTTATCTGTACTGGTAATTCATGCTGTGTTCTGCGTTCCTGCTTTAGCCCCACTGTAGTTCTGGCCCCTGTAGTTCTGGGGAGTTGTACTTGAATTGTTTTTTGTTTTTTTTGTTTTTTTTTTTGTTTGTTTGTTTGTTTGTTTTGGCCTAACAGGGGATTGAACTCAGGCCCTTGCCCTTGTCAGGCAAGCACTTATTCTACTGAGCTATCTCCCCAGCCCTGTAGTTCGATTTTGATATTAAATTTCAGTGTGCTCTTAGCCCATATATAACGTGTAAGTATAACATAAACAATGAAGAGATAGAAAGAGAGAGAGAGAGAGAGAGAGAGAGAGAGAGAGAGAGAGAGAGAGAGAATGGATTACCCAGATTTACTTTTGATGTGAAAAGAATGAGTGCATGATCAAGCTTAAAATATATAAAAAAAATTACTGTAGTGATGACACAAGGAATCCAGCATAAAAACTAATCCTGTTTATTTGTTTAAAGTAAATAAATAAAAACTTCATCCATCAACCTGAGGTTATGTATTTGCACTTAATTCATTTTAAATTCAAGTAGTTCTACTTAATCTAATGCTAGAGTAACTATGCAAATGTTATTCTAGGACCAGATATATGCCTTCAAATTATTGTATTCATAACTTCCATGCCAAAACATGTATAATGCATATGAAAGAAACATGAAATCTACCTAAATAGCAATAATAAAAAACATAATACTGTCTTTTTTTAGTAACTAATATGTGTCATTGTTGGCAGTGATTTATACGAATAATTTTATTTAATCTTCACAACTGTATGACTATCTGTTAGTTCTTGAAAGTGGAACATACGATACATTGAAATAAATTAAGACCTTACCTAAGTTAACATAGCTAAATATTACTTGATATAACCCAGCTTGACAGCAATTACTTTCATAATTCTTTAAAAATAACCACCTAAGTGTTAATAATATGTCTCTGAAGTAAAAGGATTAATTTGTTTTTTAAATTATCTCTTACATGTGTTGGTAATTTTTTCCAATTTTTTAAAATTCAGTCTATCTGTGTTGCAACTATGATTATAAAAGTATTTTAATACATTATTTTCTTGGGTTGGGGATATGGCTCAGTAGAAAAAGCATTTCCCTGGCAAGCGCAAGGGCCTGAGTTCAATCCCAAGTTCCACACATATACACACACACACACCCCAAAAAAATCTATCTATCTATCTATCTATCTATCTATCTATCTATCTATCTATCTATCTATCTATCTAATTTTCTTTGCTGTCCGTACCATAAAAATCTTGTAGTAGATTTATATTGCTTCCTTTTCCAATAATATTTCTGAAATAGCTTCTTCCTTTGTCCGTGTATGTTATAAAGCCATCATCACTTAGTCCATTTGTTAATATATTCTAACAAGCAATAGTAATGGGTTTTTAGGTTGTTCTTACTACTCTGAGTCCTTCTTTGGAATTTATAACATGACTCAGTAGTATAAAAAGCACATTTTCATTGAGGCTACAAATTCAGAAGTACATAAATATGAAATGATTGTTAGCTTTCTACATTAAATAATGGCAAGAGTCTGTCTAATATTTCACCAAAGAGAGGGAAGCAGAGGCAAGAGATAACATTATTAATGACAATAAGAACCAGTTTTAGTCTTTAGAATCATTGCACCTTGCTGTTCATTTGCCTTATTTTAAGATGAGTTTTGGAATGAAATATCACTATTTTTAAAAGGTCTCAGTTGACTTGGATAAGTGGTTATACATGGCAAGGAAATTGTACAACATGCTAAAATCAATCCATTTTGTTTTTTCTGAAAGAAAAGTACAAACATGTATTCCTGACCAATTCCAGTTTTTCACCAAGAACTTTCACTGAAACACTAGCACTTAAGGTGCTTCAGTGCAAATAAAAGTTTGAAATGTCTGAAAATTAATGTGTAAAACTGATTTCCTGTTGGATCCAGAAATTCTCAACAGCTACATTATTTTTTTTTTTTCCGGAACTGGGGATTGAACTCAGATCCTTGCGATTGCCAGTCAAGCGCTTATTCTGCTGAGCCATTTCCCCGGCCCCAATAGCTACATTTTTAACAGACAATTAACATGTAATAAAACACATTTTTATAATAAACATTAATATGCTGCATTTATATAGAATGATTAAAATATACTACTTTTATTTAATAGCATTGTAACAAATGGCCAATTATCACATGAAGTCTTATGTTTTATTTTTGTAATGGAGCAAATCTAAATTTATATCCTTAGATTCATCAGGATGCCCTTGCTAGTGAATGATTCCAATGTTATTCTGCTCTCTTAGCATCAAAGAGAGAAGTAAATTCCTGAATTCAGCCATCCAAAAACTCCGAAGCTTCTGAAGCCATGGTCTAAGTATATGCGCTGCCAAAGTGAGCACAACAGCCGTGGTCTAAGCAGGACCAGGCTACAGTTCAAGCTTGTGAAATGCCTTGTTATTGTCCACTGGATGAGGTCTTCCAGGTATGCAGAATGCAAGAGTTGCAGTGTGGAGGCTTCATTCAGATTTTAAAAGAAGGCCTGGAAAAACATTCAATTGGCCTATGAAGAAAGTGGGAAGCTGTAAGAGTTTATCCAATGTCCAGTTTAGACTCCAGGAAATTAGAAACTGTTGGCCTGGGAAATTTTACAGAGAATAGTCGGGGTATATTGTTTTTTTCTATAATTAGGACAGGGCATACTGGGTGTATACAGTCTCACTACATAGATCAATTTGTAGTGATTATCCTGTTTTCAGCCTCTCAAATGCTGGGATTACAGGCATGCACCACCACACCCAGTCTCAATCACTGTCTTAGCACGACCAGCAGGTGGGGCTGGCAGGTGGGGCTGGCAGGTGGGGCTGGCAGGTGGGGCTGGCAGGTGGGGCTGGCATGGCACAATGGGGACTGAACCCCGGATGCTATACTATGCTCTAGCTAAGTAAGCACTTTAGTCTGCTGAGCTATCAGGCTGGCCTAGTCAGAGTACAAGCAATAAGCAAAGCCAGCCTAAGAGAGAGAGGACATCAAGACTGAAAACTCAAAGCCATAGGAATGGATCGTCAGAAGAATTTGGAGTTTATATATGGCTACAACCTGCCCTGGCGTTAGACACAGAGCTACAGGATTTAATATTTGCCCTGTTTGTGTGTCAGAGCATGGAGTAACCTTGTTTTGTTCCAATTATTCTCTTTCTCTCTCTCTCATCAATTCATTTACATTAT